CTCTGCTCGCTCGCTCGGTCCCCTGTGGGCGAGAAATGGCAGACAGATGAGGTCTAGAAAGCAGGTCCGCCCATGCCCCTGTGAGGCAGCGTGGTTGCGCCCAGCCTGCTCGTCTGTCTGCGTTTTGGTCTGTCAGCCCCCCCGGAGGTGAGGAGCCAGGATCTGTCCAGAGGGTGCCAAAGTGCTATTCCCACCGGTTCTCCCCCTCGGCTGCATTGGTTGGGGCTGGGGGGAACTATAGTTCACCCGTATCTAGAAGGCCCCGGGTCCCCACTCTTCTCCTTCCCCAGCTTGGCCCCCTCCCAGCAGCCCCCTTGTCTCTAGACAGCCTGGTTGGCAGGGCTGCTGTTTCTGTGTCGAGGCGGGCGCCTGGCGGTGACTGCGCACCCCTAAACTACGTAGATTTCTTTACAGGCTCTTCCTGGGCAGACTCGGAGCGATGCCTTCTGGCCGGTCACCCAAGCCCGACTTCCAAGGTTGGTGATGCTGCATTTTGTGTTGCCCCTCCTTTCCTCCCGCCCCCCCTTTCTCTTCCTTCCTTCTTTCCTCCCCCCACGATTCGATCCGGTCTGGTCGAAGAACTGCCACGCCAACCCCGCCTTGCGAAACTGCGATGGGCCGAAGACGGTTTTGCTCGTGTCTGGTTTTTCCGAACTCTTCCCTCGGGCCCAGAATGCCGCAGGCCTTTGCACACTTTGGCCCCCCTCCGCCGGCTCCACTCTTTGCTTGCTCTGTGTTTTGCGTGCTAAGCTTCAGTCCCCGCAGCCGAGACGCCGACAAGCTCCCTAACCAGGCTTCCGTTTTTTGCTTTGCTGTATTCTTGGGTGCTCCTTGGTTTTATAGATATACTTTTTTTTCCCTTCGTTTGTTCAAGTTTTAATTTTGTACAACTGGTTAACGAAATGGGTTGTCGTTGCAGCAAATTGTTCGCTCCCCTCTCCCCAGTTTTTAAGATGTTAACGATTAAACGGCTTTTACAGAACCTCTCGCGTCCGCCTCGTAAAATTAGCGTTCTCCTGAGACGCCCCCTCCCCGCCTCGATCCAACTCCTCCTCTGCCTCCTGCTTCCCCACTCCTCTGTCTGCATGGGACGGAACTGGTGATCCGGATTTGCTGCGTGGTGCACCGTGCGCGCTCCCGCCTCCACCGCCTCCCCCCTTCGCTTTCTGGAAAGAGGGCCGTCGGCACCCCCTCCTTCCCCGCGAGGGGGCTGCTCTCGCCACTAACCCCCCTCCCAGCAGTGAGAGTTGGCCGAATCGTTGCGCAATCCGAAGCCGTGGTCTTGTGCGAATGCCGGATTCCGTCGCTTTGCCTTTGAAACTAACCCACGTCAGGCCACTGATGCTGTTTAATCCTGTTCCCCCCCTCCATTGATTTCTCTTTTTCTGTGGACAGCTGTTTCTGGAAGAAGCCAGGGGATTTCGGATGCCCCCCATCCTCCAAGCAGGCAGAGCTGATCCGAAGCAACGCAGCGCCTTTTGTTCTGCTGACAAGAACTCAGAAGGTTCTCCAAGTACCCAAAGGGAACATCCTGTCCTTCTGTCACAGTCTTAGAATAGGCACTGGGAAACACGTGGGGCGTTCTGAAAATTGCTATTTTCTCTTGGGTTCTTGGTGTTCTCGGAGCTCTGAGAACACCAGGATCCCAACGGTTCAACCCTGAGTTACATATCATCTTCCTCTACTATTCCTATTGCTGTTTTTGCACTCTGCATCAACCCTCAGCTTCCCAAATTCTGAGAAATTTGAGATACAGATAGTCCTCTATTTATGAACTTTCAAGTTACGAACTTTCGCTGATATGAACAAACCTCCAACAATGAAGATCCCAGAAGAAAAGTCCCAGAAGTTTACAGCGCGCATGTGTACTACGCCTGGAAGTTTATGGCGTGCATGCCTACATATGCGATGTGCTGTAATCTTCCAGGCGTATGTATGAATTGTGCCTTGGTTGGACTTACGAACAAAATGGACTTACAAACAGCCTCTTGGAACGTAACCTGTTCGTAAGTAGAGGACTGTCTGTACTGTACATTGGAACTTGGAATTCCAGCCAGGCTGACTGTCAGCTGGCTAGGAATTCTAGGGACTGAAGCCCCAAACTTCTGGAGTCCCTTCAGATGACAGAAAGCTGGCTTATATTACAGTATGATCCCCCCCCCAATTCCTGCTCCTTGGAAGAAATTCCACCCCCCATCTCCCCGGCATCCCCCCATTATTGAGCTGGGACAACTGGCTCTGTGCTTTTCTGCAATCAGCTGCTGGATCACGACCCCACGCAGGGGCCAGGAGAGAAGACGGCTTTGGTGGGTAGGTGATGTGGGTTGACATAAGGTGGAGTAACAGAGACAGTTGTTGGGGAGGGCAGCCATGTTAAAAGTGACTCCGGAATACGGTGGGCAACTGGCAGGCCACATACAACTTCCTGCCACCCTCAGCCCCTCCAGATACAAGCTGTCTGTCTGTAGCTGTCTCTCCGTCACCTGGACGAGGATGATGAGGAAGGTTGGAGGAGAGAGAAAGGGGTAGTTTTGGGGCTGTGTCTGCAGCGTCTCAGATCAAGGTGGCATTCACACCACCCACAGCCAAGTCTAGCAACCCGAGTGGCTTGGTTAAATTAAATGTTCAGTGGCCATCAAGCAGCAACTTTGGGAAGGGCTTGAGAATTGTGCCCAAGTTTGCAGTGAGGGCATAGCCCCGTTCCCAGCCCGGGGCTGCCAGATGTGCTAGGATGCCCAAATTGGGGAATTCTGGGAGTCGTAACCCTAACACATCAGTTGTGTTCTCAATGTACTTAACCAGGCCTGTTCCAAATGTCATACCTGCATTCACAGACTAGCTTGGTTTGTTTTTCATGCGCTTTGGAGGGTCAAGCAGTTCTAGCCTGTTGAGTTAGTTTATGGCTCAGGGTATCGTGTGAACCCCCCCATGGGATATTATTTATTATTGTTTGATTTATTATAGCTCCTCACTCCAAAAAACTCTGGGCAGCTTACAACATATGAAACGCACACTTAAAACACTTAACAGCCCGGACAAGTAAACAGCCACCACAGTCAAAAGCGCATGACAGGGGCTCCACTGACACACGAATTAACGCCAGGCCCGGGAACAAAGCCAGATCTTCAGGGCCTTCCAGGACCTTGGAAAATGGGTGCCGTACGTATCTGGGGTGGGGGGGGTGCTATTCCAGATAGCAGGGGCTATGACAGAGAAGGCATGTTCCTGAGTCCCACAAGATGACAGTGTTTAATCGAGGGGACCCGGGGTGCACCACACTGCCTGAACATACCAGGGGGCAGAATCAACTGGAGACAGGCGGCCCCTCAAGTGACCAGGCCCATGCCCTGTAGGGCTTTATGGGTGACGACCGGGACCTTGAATTGCACCTGGAACCCAATGCGCGGCCGGTGCAGCTCACTTAGCAGCGATGACATGTGGGCATAACGGGAAGCGCCTGTTACTGCTCGTATTGCTGTATTTTGAACCAGCTGTAGCTTCTGGGTGATTTTCAAGGGCAGCCCTGCGTACAGCGCATTGCAGTAGTCCATCCGCAAGGTGACCGGGGGTGAGCGAGCCTCCCGGTGGAGGAAAGGGCACAACTGGATGAACCTGTGCAAAGGCCCTCCTGGAGACAGCACTTTGAGCAGGAGGACCCCCCCCCATTGCGCCCCAATCTGCAAGGGTGAAGCAGTCCCCTCCAAGCCCAATGGTGAAAACATCCCTGACTTGGTGGGGGGCAAGCAGCCCCAGCCACTCAGTCTTGCCAAGATTGAGCCAAAATCTGTTCCTCCCATCCAGATGGGCAGTGAACAGACAGCTGTCCCCTTTCTGCGTTCTCACGACACAATAACCCATTGATTCCATTCAGCATGTTGTGGGAATGGGGACTGTGTATTAGCATGTGTTCAGCTGGGTTTCTCTGTCCTAAGATTAGCTTCTCTGCAGTAAAAAAGAAATGCTGGTTGGTTTTAGATTCTCCTCCCTTTCCCTCCCCTCCTCCCTCCCTCCCCCAAATCTGGTCCCTTCCCCACCAGCCAGTTACAAGCGTCTGAGCCTACCCTGCGAGGCAGACTGGAGCCCAGTGCTTCTGGGGCAGGTAAGCCCAAGAGGTAAGCAAACTCTTTTTTCCTGCCTACTAAAGGTGGTCCTTTGAACATGGCAGGACTTCAAGACTGACGCTGTGCCAAAGTCTCCAATGCAGTTGCTCTTTCTCTTCCCTTGTGAAAGAGGCTTCTGTTTTTCTGCCTCATTCTTCTACATCTGTCTGGGTGGTATTTTTCAGCTGACTTTGCAGCTGGTGGCACAGCTGTTCCCAATATTCTTACTTTATTTTATGCATCTTTCCATCATTCTGAAGCCTCCGGGGTGACCTGCCCATCCCCTCCCAAAAAGAGGATTGAATGGAAGGTAGAAATTCTGCCACCTGCTAGAAGTTTTGCCATGAAAAACAGGATGTTCACACAACATCCATAACCAAATCTGGTAAAAAGGATTGCATTCACCTGACACACTAAACTTGGTTACATCAATCTATGGCTTTTGTTTGTTTCTTGCGGAGTTCTGCAAACCCAGCCCGTGTGGGAGCTGAAGTCCACAGGCCTTAAAATGGCCCAGTTTGAGAAACACTGGATTAAATCAAAGGGTGTGAAAGGCACCCTAGAAACCCTATACAGAAAACTGAACTACTTCATCCTTAGCATAAAACTTAGTGACTGACACACCTGGGTTTATACAACACACTGAATCATAAATGAACGGGACCAGCTGGATTTGCACAACCTGTTAAGCTGTAAAAAAAAAACAACCCTAAACTTAAAATTAACCAAGCTTAGCATGTTATGCAAATGAAGCCGAGATCAAATGCTGACTTTATCAGTGTAATGTATGAACCTATAATTGTATTTCACAGAGTAATTGTTCAAACGTAAGAGAAATTTGTGCCCAACAGGAACTGAATACCAGACTTGCTCGCCATGGCCGACCTTTGACTTGAAATTCAAGGATTATCATCTTGAATTCCATTTTTTTCCCCAGGCAGGGTGAGAACCTGGCACAGTTTAATCTTCAAAGAGATTAAACAGCGTGGAATTCTGGGAGTGGGGGGTCTTGGGGAGCAACAGGATTGGGAAGGTAAATGTAAAGGCTCGAAATCCTTTCCCCCCGTACAAAACATTTCAGATTTCTTTATTCTCAGCCTTCCATTCTGGGAAATCACTCTGCGAACCGATCGCCAAATATTCTTCCCTGGCGTTTTGTTGCCCCTGGCATCTGGAGCAATGTGCTGGAAAATGGCTCCACGTGGAGAAAAGTGCCAGCTGCCAAGCCGGGTGCAAGCCAGCTCAAAAGGAAGGAATTTGAGTTGCAAAACAGAAAGACCCTTCCCCAGATGTTGGTGTCTGCATTCACACAGCCTCCTCACCTGGTTCTATCAACCCAGCCTGTTTGGTTCAAGTTGGACAGCCAGTGGTTTGGGCAAGCTTGCCAAGTGGGGGAATTGAATAAGGAAGTTCAACAGGTTGAGGCAACTCCTGGGTCAGTGCCCTGTGTGAACCCAGGCTCCTCCATCAACCTGGCTCTGCTTTCTCAGCCCTCCAAGAAGGGAAGAGAAATGCCCAAGGTCATTTTTGCCCAGACTTAACATTTCCAAATCCACGACTGATGGTGGATGAGTGGAAAGCACCCGAAGGAACAAAGAAAGCCGGAGTCATTTGAAAGAAAATGTACAAACTGGTTTTACACTGGAATCCCAGCACCCTACAAAAATGGCATCAGGAAGTGACCAGGGTGGATCCCTGGTCTGCCAGCGGCAGGAAAGGCAGGGGGCCGACGGTGGGCCTGGGGCCTCCCTCACAGCTCCAGATGTTTCAAATGCTGCTGAAAGATTTCTTCAGCTCTCTGGAGATACTCCGCCGTCTTCTTCTTCACCGCCTCCCTGCGGGCTGGGTCTGGATCCCCTGCAAACAGGAAGACAGGTTTGATCCCACCCTTCTTGCCTCTTACTTGGATCCTGGAATCCGGCCGGGAAAAAAACGGTCAAACATCAGCTCAAAGCATCTGGCAGAGCAACAGGCTGGGATTACAGCCTCCGGGAATCGCCTTCCCCCGGCACAGAATCAGTGGCCGCATTCACACAACACACTTAAACCTGGATTCGTAAAAGTCGAAGCAGCTACGTTTGTGCGGCACGCTAAGCTTGGTGAAGGGTGAACCTTGGTTCATTTTTTCCCTTGGGCGTAGCCTATTGCACAGACGCAGCCTGTTTCGTTTAGGGTTCAGTGTGTTGTGTGAACCCAGGCCCAAGACTTTGGAAAGCAGGTTAATGGAATTGGGTGACTGCAGCCATTCTGTTCCCAAGCAGACTCATGATATGGGAGGGAGGAGGTATAATCAGGATGGCCACAGACAGGGCCTAAGGTGTAGATTTATCCCTTGAACTAGGATTAGCCACGGTTCTCTCTGCCTCTGGATATTTCTCTGAGTGCTGCTTCAAGTCTTCTCCAGCATAGCACTTCCTCTGCACTTAGGGGTAGAGCTTCTGCAAAAAACTTGGTATATATTTCCTCTCTGTTTTACTAACACACGCACTGAGAATCCATTTTTAAGAAAGAATGAAAACATGCCTGGGTTTAATGATGTCACCAGCGGTGCCCAATCAGTGTTTATGCACAACTGATTTCAGTTGCAAAACCAGCTTTTGCTGAGTTTGTATCTTCCCCAACTGGTGCCTATGGAATACCTTGTGACTGCAATTCCCAGAATTCCCAAGTTGGCTAAGAATTCTGGGACATGCAGACTTTGCCCATCGGAAATGTTCAGGGGAGGCTGACTATTGAATGAAGTCTTCTCTCGGTTCAAACGAGAAAGCCTGTTCTTTAGGTGAAATGAGAAGTGGGGGAGGTTTATAATGCCACTTTCAGCTCCAATGACACCCAACATCTGGGATCATGCAACACATTAAGGCTGGCTGGGGAATTCTGGGAGTTGAAGTCCACTCAAAGTGGCCAAGTTTGGACAACACTGACTTAAGTGAAATAAACCATAGTCCTTGCGTTTGCACAACTAACCCATCATGTTAGTTATGCTCGTGTTTTACACAGGCGGTTTGCTTATGGCTTAGGGCAGTGTTTCCCAACCCTGGCTGGGGAATTCTGGGAGTTGAAGTCCACTCAAAGTGGCCAAGTTTGGACAACACTGACTTAAGTGAAATAAACCATAGTCCTTGCGTTTGCACAACTAACCCATCATGTTAGTTATGCTCGTGTTTTACACAGGCGGTTTGCTTATGGCTTAGGGCAGTGTTTCCCAACCTTGTCAATTTTAAGATGGGCGGACTTCAACTCCCAGAATTCCCCAGCCAGCAGGCTTTATGGACTCCCACATCTTAACACTGCTGAGGCTGGAAACACTGGCTTAGTGAGTAGGTTCCCACAACACATCAGACTAGGGTAAATGGGGTGGGGTTGTTTCTGGTTCAGTGGGTGGGGGGAACCCACCCCTTCTCTTCACCGGACGTGTGACTGAGGACGTTATCTCAAGCCCCTACAGCACTGTGAACGGTGTACTGAGCGCTGAGATTCTGTTCCCCTGCCCTGAGGATCAAGGTCGCAGTCTCTCAAACCTGGACCTGGCCTTCTGGGGGCTCTCAGGGGCCACTGGTGAACTTGCCGGGTTCTGCTCAGTAGATCAACGTCCTGGTCCAGGCACGGATGTCTCCCTAGGAACAGCAGGCGCCTTGACTGGATCTCGGTGCCCCCTGCGCTCAGCAACTCTCCAGGGACCAAACTCTCCCCAAGGGGGCCCAAGGGACCTGCACCTGCAACTCAAGTTACCTTGCAGACCTTGAAGGAGCAAGTCAACTCCGCTGCGGTAGCCATGAAAGGCCCCCGAGTAGTCTTTGGTGGCTTCACACCGCACGGCCTGCCGGATCCGCTCCGTTGCCAGGGGCAGATACCTGCTGGCATCAAACGAGGCCCCTCCTTCCTCGGGCTTCTGCATCGTTTCCGCACTGAGCAAGGGCCCTGGCCTGGTCCCCGAGGCTTCTAGAGAGGCCAGATCTTCTCCGTGGCAGAGACCGGCGGCAGCAGAGGCTGGGTCACAGAGAAAACAACGGATGGGCAGAGGCTCAACTGGTTAGGGGAGGCATGCCAGGAGACGGGAGCCGTGTGGGGAGACCCTTCCAACCCCTATTGGGGTCTGGGGTGGGCCTCCACTCCCTGTCCCAGGCCTGCGCATGGATGGGAGACGTGCCCTTGGTGGCCCTCCATCGCCTACCTACCTTCCTTGGAACAGGGGTCGAAGAGGGCTAATTCTTGGACCGATAAGAGGCAGTGGGAAGGTGAGTCGCTCTTAGCTTCTTCCTCGTCTTCCTCCTCAAAGGCAAAGAGGGCGTCCAGGTCCTCCAGTTTCATGGGCTCAGAGGCCCCCTCTGTAGTAGAAGCATCAGTAAATGGAAGCAGGAGCATCACTTCCACTAAGCCCCTTCCGTTATGGACCGGCCACCCTAAGATCAGCGTGTTCCCAAAGCTGGAGGGATCCAGGCTAATCGCACCAGTTACAGACTCCGCGCTGGACACCCCAAGCGTCTTTCCAGGTTCAGGGTTCTTCAGAAGCCCCAGAAGAGAACTCAACATGTGGGGAAAACGGATTCTGCAAACCACAACAGCTGGAATCACCTCCCACCCTAAAGCAAAACTGAACCAACCACATTATGGCTTAGGGCAAACTCTGGACCTACCCGCTGCAGTTTGTAAACCATAGTTTATTTTTATTTATTTATTTATTATTAAATGTATATGCTGCCCATCTCCCCCAGAGGGTGACTCTGGGTGGCTTACAATTAAAAACCAAGACAATAAAAACAATAAAAACAGATTAAAATCCCCCCCGATTAAAATCCCAAGTAATTTATGGCTTATGGCTTAGTGTGAGATGCAAATCCGTACCTCGCCTATTTGGCAAGTGGGTCTTCTAGAGAGTAGGGTAAGACCTGTGAGCCATGTTCTCACAACATGATTAACTAAATCAACAGGGTGTTAAGCTTTGCAGACAATTCAGTCCAGCTCATTGACCTATTTGGCATCTCTAGTCCTCCAAGAAAAAGAGTTGGAGAGAAAGAGCAACAGGACACACTTCCTGAAGCTAGTTACGTCATGACATTTTGCCTCAGTGTGGGCCACTTTAAGTTCCGTGGACTTCAACTCCCAGAATTCCCCAGCCAGCCATGCTGGGGAATTCTGGGAGTTGAAGTCAACATAGCTTAAAGTGGCCCGGGATGAGAAACACTATGACAGAAGGGCTTGTGGGACTGTCTGGGCAAAGTAGGTGGAACTTTATTGTCAAAATGAGGACTTTTGACCTTGTTAATGTGAGACTGGGTGGCCGGGCCATATTAAGATTGGACTGGGTTAGTGGTTAACTGGGTTAAGCACACTGTAGAAACAGGCTCATTTACTCCAAATGCTGGGATCAAAAATACAACAATCCAAAGAGAAACCTGAAAAATCCAGGGGAAACTGTTCGATTTTTCCCCATATTTCCCCCAAACAATCAGGAAAAAATGGAGGGTAGGATTTTCAGGGATTCTCTTTTTCCGTCTTTCCATTTTCCAGCCTCCCCTTGACCCACGTGCACACCTTGTGTAAGAGCGCACCTGAGCATGTGCAGAATGCCTTTCTCTACACAAGGTGGGCCTAATGGAAATGCGATCTTCAGCCTTTGCCCTTCTAGGAACCAGAGCCTTAAGGGCGTACCTCTGTTCTCCGTCTGAGGCTCAGAGACGTCGCTTTTGCTGGCCGCCGCCGGCTTTGCGTCCAGGAGTCCATCTTCCTGGACTAACCCCAGAGCATCCTCGCCCTGTTCGATGCCCCCCACGGGCACCGGGATCAGAGGGAGAGGCAGAGGAGGCGAGTCGCAGTGCCCAGGACAACTCCTCCCCTCTCCACCCTAGAAGAGCAAGACAGACGCTGCCTTCACGCAATCCACTGAACCGAGTCGCTGAGTTCCTCTGCCTTCTGGATTTGGGCACTAGGCTGAGTCAGAAACTATGGGCCGGGTTCGCATAACAGGCTCAAATCAAAACTAACCAAGCTCGCCACGTTGTATGAGGGCAGCTGCCGGGGCTGGTTAAGCATGTTGCACCAGCTTCTACGTACAACATGCTAAACCCTAAACTTGGCCCAGTCACACACAACGGCTGTGTTGGCAGGGTTGGGCACAGCGTGTGGAGCCATATCGTGGTTTAACGTAATGAAATGTAAGATGCCCAGGCAAGGGATGACCCTGACCCACAAAGCCATTCGATGCTAGTCTGGCAAGCTGTGGCAACCCACCCCATGGATCCAACAGTCCAACGAACTTTCTTGCAGGGATCGCAACAAAAATGGAGCCCCGCTTTTGCGAGGGAAGAGGGAGATTAGGAATCACGGTCAACTTTGTCACCGTGGCCCCTCAGGACTCAAAGCGGGGCCCCTGGCAAACCACGATGGCTCAGTGCACGGTCAGCCCTCCCTCCCCAACAAACGCGGCTCGTGCTAATGGGGCTACCCCGGATCTAAAATGAATGAATGAATAAATTATGGTACCCGGAAGAATTCTTTCAGCTGGGGGCTGTTGTTTAAGGCTGGGATGTGCACGGTGAAGCGCAACATGGCTTCCGCCGCCTTCCGCCTCTCTTCGATCACCTCGGGGTCAAAGCGGCCTGCGGAACGGGGGCAACGTTACAGGATGCGATGAAGCTCAGGACTGCCGCTCCCCTAATTCCCAGCGAATGTGGCCAACAGGAGGGGCAGTGCCAGCCTTCCCAGGAGACCAGACAGGGAACACGACCAGGTGAGCTAATCCTACTTTATCGCAAGGCTACGTTGACAGAATCTTGCAACTCTGAAGGCACAATTCTCCCCCGGGGAGTATAATCCTTTTACAGCCTGGGAACTGAGGGAGGGTCCCTTCTGGGCCTCTTTCTCCACCCACTATGCAGCTGTGGGCTGTGCCCTCTCTTATCGGACCGTTCCCTTGGCAGCACCTCTTCTGCCCGTCGCCCCAGGTCATTCTCACAGAACATTACAGGGAGTCCCCTCTAGATGTGTGGGATTGCCAATGGCTGGGGGTTGGGGGCACTGTAGTCCCAGCCCACTGGGAAGGCAGCAGGTTGGGGAAGAGTGGAAGGAAGGAGCTGAGCCCAAGAACTCACCGAAGACCTGGGCTCTGGGGAAGGAGGGGAAGTCTTCCATGCGACGGAAGAGGTTGCGATGGGTGTAAGCCAGGTCCGTGTGCAGTTTCTTAAAGTCACTGTACCTCTTCCAGACCACAATCTGTGGGATGCAAAGGAGGGGGAGATGCAGAGAAGGAAAAGCCCATTCCCCAGATCCAGCTGGATCTTGCCTATGCTGGCTCTCTCCAGTCAGGGGCTCCCTGCATGTCTGAAGAGCCAGCGTAGTGCAGTGCAGTGTTTCTCAACCTTAGCCACTTTAAGACAGGTGGACTTCAACTCCCAGAATTCCCCAGCCAGCATGCCTCCCCCTTCTCAGGATGGTGTGTTGTGAGAAGGGCTTCTTTGCCCTTTCTGGGCAGGCTGGGTCCACCCCGTCAGGACGTACCTCCTTGACATCGTCCGGATTCACCCTTGAGACGAACTGGAAGGAAAGAGATGCAGGACGTTGAAAGCCAGCCCCCAGTCGCCCTCGACCCACGGGCAGACGCCTTGCCAGTTCTGCCCACCCCGACCGCCGGGCAGTCACGGGAATGGCAGAGGCGTTGCGGGGCTCTGTGGCGGTGGGCAAAGCGCGAGATGCCAGCTCAAGGCTGGTTCCCTCCCTCCTGCCCGCCTGCCTGCTTGCCCAGATGTTTTCTGCCCGAGCAAATGCAGCCAGGAGGCAGAGCCCCCCCAGCCCCCCC